GTTCATAGGAGAGAATGTAACAGGTTTATTGTGAAATATGTATATGTGTGTCTCAAGGACAGAGACGTTTCAGATTTAGTAGATATTAACATTACACACTTCCAGCTGTGATGTTTATAGTTGCCTCATCATTTCCATCTGTGCCAACCAAGTGTAAAGTTTTGCAGTAGTATGTAGAAGCAGCATCAGCACATCTCAGATCTGTCAGGATGAACTGTATGTTGCCTGTTGCTCCACTGATAGAACCCGAGGCTGTCATCCGCTGCTGTAGACCTGTGTCCACTACTTGAACTGACGAATCTGTGTTGGTCATTCGTATTATAGTGTGATCAGTGCCAGTAGAAGACTTCTTGCCAATCTCCATGCCATACACTGTAGTTATCCCAGGTGCATTTGGCCTGCACCCGACAGTCAACTGAGATGTTGGGTTTCTGCCCCCGATTGTTATTTGGCTTGGTGAAGCGGTCAGGCTTGCCCCAGTGGCTGAAAAACACCCAAGTACTTGAATTTACATCAATTCAATAACAAGGACGATTTATTCATTCATATAAATATGTGCCATGAAAATATATACTGTATAGCATAGTAGCGTAGCGTAGCAGGGCTTGTGAAGGACTGCGGCGATGATGACTGATTCCTAATATAGAACTTTTAAGTAACGTGTTTCAGTTTAAAGCACACATGTTGAAATCTGATATTTGTGAAACAGATTCGATTTTTCTTTGAGGGTGTACACAAGTGAATATAATCACAATGGAAAACTCTTCTCTTCTTCTACATCAGCACCGACTGATCAAGCATTTTATAGAAGCTTCCGTAAAGATTTATTTAGACCAAGTGCAGCAATTACGTAACGACCAGACTTCAACATATTTCATCCGGGCCATATCAAATCTCGTTAGAGGACTGTGAGCTGAGCACACTGCCCTTCCTTCATAAATATATATGGAAATGTTCTTGAAGCACATACTCCCAGGTCCCTAAACATATCCCTTCTTGGGTCCCTGGAAATAGTGATCAGTCACCTATATCCCATTTTCATCATTCTGCCCAACTCAGGAAGATCAATCGATGACCATGGCCGTTTCCATGAGACTTCCTTACACTGATCTTTCTCAGTGCTTCAGTCACTGAATCCCCAGGCCCTGACTCAGTTACTTACAGGCCAAATTCATGTGCAAAGTATCCTTCCTTGACATCTGTATGATGGACAGAACACATTAGAGTCCGTCAACCAAAGAAGCTTAAGTACCCTCTGTATACCTTACGATGAATATATCTATACCGAATGCTAACATTAACAATACAACCAGTTAAGCTCAAATACAGGTTTGCTATCCGAATGACAAGTAAAGAAGACGAAACATAAAAGTGGATGTGGGATTGTAATCAGAATGCTGGGGCAGACTGATGGTCAAAAAAGCGATGGGAGAATACCACTGGGCTAAGTGTATGCTTTCAAAATGTCAGTAATGTGTATAGCTACCCTTGACGGAAATGTGCCACGGATTGTCGATGTCATTGAATGTCCAGACAATTATGCCAGAATTATATATGCTTTTATAGTGCTGTGGTATATCATTAATAGGCAAGACATTTCTGAAATTTACGCTCTTGATAAATATGTAAATTAACCAGTTGTACAAAACTCACTACTTGCAGGCTTTGCGGAAGGAGTTTTTGGTTGTTGTTGACCTGAAACAAATATGTAGCAGTTAGGAAGTAGACCTGATCCTTTCGCTTCTGTTGCTTTCCTGCTAACATGCATGAGATACGCTGCTAACATAATGGTTCATATGTATAACACATTTACAATACAGACCAGATTCGGATAAGGTCACAGACGATTTCTTCCCATTGTAATTACAGCATTCCTGCGTGAGTGTTTGTCGTCCTGGTATCATGTGTTAAATGTATTTGAGTAGAACAGCAAGCTGATTGTATATATAGAAGATACAACAGGAACTGCATTCGACCCGGAACAGCAATCACAAGCTTTTCGGTCCAATAAAAAATACACGAATGCCGTTAAAGAAGGACAATGTCGTTTATAGTCAGACGATGGCGGCTTTGACACCAAAATGTCAATAATGTGATATGGCCACCATTGTCTGAAATATGTGCCAGGGTGACAGCTTTAGCGTGATCGTAGATGTAATCTTATATAACCTGCTCTTGCGTTTTTTGAATTATACAAACTCACCACTTTCGGGATGAGATGATAGTTCTGGTTCTGCGTCACCTGACAAAGATGTAAATCAGTTAGGAGATAGTTCTGATCCCTTGTTTTTGCCTTTTTCCTGCTAACATGAATGGTGTACCCGCCTCGACATATAGTTTTCTCAGGAATTATTGAGAAAGTCTTTGTTTCAAACACTGAGCATAGCATTTAACAATAGGTGTTACATTATGTAGTAAGGTACTCATGATAGGAGGCAACTCTTGTAGGCTTAGTAATGGACCTAAATACATCGAGAGTTATCTCCCCTGGTGTAACAGGCGACTTCTTTGTTGATATGACAGTCAGAGAAAAGCTGGTTCCTAGATGATTTTTGAAAGCGGTGTGACTATTGCAAAAGAGTTAGCTGTAACATGTTTCCTGCAAAATTTGATCGGTAGTGTACCTAGGCGCATTCAGTCGTGTATTGTAGGGCAAGGAGGTCCCACAAAGTACTGAAAAAGACACTTAGACTGTGTAAGAGAATCATATCTTAACATATTCAGTTAAGTAAAAGCTTCTATAGTTCATATAAATGTATTCGATATTTGCTGAAACAACTTTCTCAATAATTTATAGACCCGTGAAGGTCCGGGTTAGAATATTGATCTTCAGTCACCCATGCTTGTCGTCAGAGGCGACTAACAGGATCGGGTGGTCAGGTTCGTTGACTTGGTTGACACATGTATGTCATTGGTTCCCAATTGCGCAGATCGATGCTCATGCTGTTGATCACTGGATTTTCTGGTCCAGGCTCGATTATTTACAGACCTCCGCTATATAGCTGGAATATTGCTGAGTGCGGCATAAAACTAAACTCATTCATTCACTCAGTGATTTATAGGAATACTATAAGTTCATCTGCCTAACACTCATAAAATATAGGCCTGATGTGTATAAGATCACAAACGATCTCTTCCAATTGTAATTATAGCCTTCCTTTTTGAATGTTTGTCGTCCTGGTATTAAAAGCTTAAATGCATTTGCGTAGAACATAAAGCTGTTCATAGGAAGGTTTATTAGATTTGGACAATTAGTGTGATCGTCGATGTAAACTTATACCCACCCTTGCTTTCTTTCAATTATACAAAATTCATCACCTGTATTCTGTCCGGGGGCGCCTGTTACTCCACCTGGTGGTGCTTGACCTAAGAAAAGACATAAAGCAGTTCGGAGGTAGTCGTGATCCTTTGTTTCTGTCGTTGTCTTGCTGACATGCATGGAGTACCCGGCTGACATACAGGTTTATCCGCATGACACTAATATAGGCTTGATTTAAATAAGGTCGACAAACGATACATTTGACTAGATTATGAAGCTCTTCATGGGATAGAATATCTAACAGGTTTAAAATGATATTTTCACGATAAATCAGAAACCTAACTCCCTGTTATGAGTAAACCTTGTAATTTGTAGGTAAATTCAACTACAATGTAAAAATCGATATTATTTCCTAATTAGGACTTAGTATCTAGTATAATATATTTTCTATGTGACCCTAATACGCTTCAGTAACTCCCCGTTATCCGCAAACGTTGTAGTTTGTAGGTAAAGTCAACTACAATATAAAATCGAACAATCCCAAAAGTTAAATCTTACCAAGTACATAAACAGTCTTGTTTGCACTATAGTCTGCACTTAGGACAGAACACCTGAACTGTCTTCCACTGTCTAGATACGAGACTGTGTGAACCAGTGTTGACGCCCTGTATATTGACATTCCGCTACTGAAGTAGGACGGTCGTAGGTGATGTTTTGGTCGTTGGGGTACCGTGTCCAGGTGGTGAACTCGCTGTTTACAGATCGCCACTCCCATGTCCACAGGTTCTGGAGGTTGTTCTCATCAAACTGGTTCCCAATCCTGCCTGTACATCTGATTGACAAAAGAGCTGACCATAGTCATATTGGATCCTGTCAGGAGTAGGGAACATCTCTATCTGCTCTGGGTAGGCTGTAAGAAAGTATATAGATATTGTCTGTCACCATTTGGGGCAATCGGCGTAGAAGAATGCCGATATTAACAGTACAATTACACTTATAAATGCTGTATAAGACTGTAATGGGAATTGTTTAAATGGTGTATAGATATCCAGTTAATTTGCATGAGTGACCCCTTATTCGATTGTTTAAATGCATTCAATATAAAAATTGTAACTCATATGCTGTCAACACTTATATTTAGAAACAGGCAATAAGTTTACACATTAAGAATATATCACACTGACCCAAACTCACAGCTAACAGGGCAGGTATACAAGACACATGAGATGACTTGAGAAATACACTAAAAAATATAATTAAGCAATTTAAATGTCAAATATAAATGTCTTATATATATATTCTAATTTCTTCGCACATATACACATACGCACACACACACACATATATATATATATATATATACGCACAAAATGTCCAAAGTAGTACAGGTGTTCAGTCATAAATATTGCATAGATAAATAAAAACAGAATGCCGTTTTCTCCAACATGTTTCGTTCTTTACTCTTCTATTGTACAATCTCCTGAAGAGTAAAGAGCAAAGAACATTAGCTTAACAACATTCTATTATATCTAATATATCTCTCTATATATATATACCGTTTAATTACATTATATATCTATCTAATATATATCGATATATACCGCTGACATACAACTTCATCTGCATAACTCTCTTAAAATATAGTCCTGATTTAGATCAGGTCACAAACGATCTCTTCAATTGTAATTATAGTCTTCCTTTTTGAATCTTTGTCGTCCTGGTATATAAAACTTAAATGCATTTGAGTAGAGAACATGAAGCTGTTCATAGGAGAGAATGTAACAGGTTTATTGTGAAATATGTATATGTGTGTGTCTCAAGGACAGAGACGTTTCAGATTTAGTAGATATTAACATTACACACTTCCAGCTGTGATGTTTATAGTTGCCTCATCATTTCCATCTGTGCCAACCAAGTGTGAAGTTTTGCAGTAGTAGTATGTAGAAGCAGCATCAGCACATCTCAGATCTGTCAGGATGAACTGTATGTTGCCTGTTGCTCCACTGATAGAACCCGAGGCTGTCATCCGCTGCTGTAGACCTGTGTCCACTACTTGAACTGACGAATCTGTGTTGGTCATTCGTATTATAGTGTGATCAGTGCCAGTAGAAGACTTCTTGCCAATCTCCATGCCATACACTGTAGTTATCCCAGGTGCATTTGGCCTGCACCCGACAGTCAACTGAGATGTTGGGTTTCTGCCCCCGATTGTTATTTGGCTTGGTGAAGCGGTCAGGCTTGCCCCAGTGGCTGAAAAACACCCAAGTACTTGAATTTACATCAATTCAATAACAAGGACGATTTATTCATTCATATAAATATGTGCCATGAAAATATATACTGTATAGCATAGTAGCGTAGCGTAGCAGGGCTTGTGAAGGGCTGCGGCGATGATGACTGATTCCTAATATAGAACTTTTAAGTAACGTGTTTCAGTTTAAAGCACACATGTTGAAATCTGATATTTGTGAAACAGATTCGATTTTCTTTGAGGGTGTACACAAGTGAATATAATCACAATGGAAAACTCTTCTCTTCTTCTACATCAGCACCGACTGATCAAGCATTTTATAGAAGCTTCCGTAAAGATTTATTTAGACCAAGTGCAGCAATTACGTAACGACCAGACTTCAACATATTTCATCCGGGCCATATCAAATCTCGTTAGAGGACTGTGAGCTGAGCACACTGCCCTTCCTTCATAAATATATATGGAAATGTTCTTGAAGCACATACTCCCAGGTCCTAAACATATCCCTTCTTGGGTCCCTGGAAATAGTGATCAGTCACCTATATCCCATTTTCATCATTCTGCCCAACTCAGGAAGATCAATCGATGACCATGGCCGTTTCCATGAGACTTCCTTACACTGATCTTTCTCAGTGCTTCAGTCACTGAATCCCCAGGCCCTGACTCAGTTACTTACAGGCCAAATTCATGTGCAAAGTATCCTTCCTTGACATCTGTATGATGGACAGAACACATTAGAGTCCGTCAACCAAAAAGCTTAAGTACCCTCTGTATACCTTACGATGAATATATCTATACCGAATGCTAACATTAACAATACAACCAGTTAAGCTCAAATACAGGTTTGCTATCCGAATGACAAGTAAAGAAGACAGAAACATAAAAGTGGATGTGGGATTGTAATCAGAATGCTGGGGCAGACTGATGGTCAAAAGCGATGGGAGAATACCACTGGGCTAAGTGTATGCTTTCAAAATGTCAGTAATGTGTATAGCTACCCTTGACGGAAATGTGCCACGGATTGTCGATGTCATTGAATGTCAGACAATTATGCCAGAATTATATATGCTTTTATAGTGCTGTGGTATATCATTAATAGGCAAGACATTTCTGAAATTTACGCTCTTGATAAATATGTAAATTAACCAGTTGTACAAAACTCACTACTTGCAGGCTTTGCGGAAGGAGTTTTTGGTTGTTGTTGACCTGAAACAAATACGTAGCAGTTAGGAAGTAGACCTGATCCTTTCGTTTCTGTTGCTTTCCTGCTAACATGCATGAGATACGCTGCTAACATAATGGTTCATATGTATAACACATTTACAATACAGACCAGATTCGGATAAGGTCACAGACGATTTCTTCCCATTGTAATTACAGCATTCCTGCGTGAGTGTTTGTCGTCCTGGTATTATGTGTTAAATGTATTTGAGTAGAACAGCAAGCTGATTGTATATATAGAAGATACAACAGGAACTGCATTCGACCGGAACAGCAATCACAAGCTTTTCGGTCCAATAAAAAAATACACGAATGCCGTTAAAGAAGGATAATGTCGTTTATAGTCAGACGATGGCGGCTTTGACACCAAAATGTCAATAATGTGATATGGCCACCATTGTCTGAAATATGTGCCAGGGGTGACAGCTTTAGCGTGATCGTAGATGTAATCTTATATAACCTGCTCTTGCGTTTTTGAATTATACAAAATTCACCACTTTCGGGATGAGATGATAGTTCTGGTTCTGCCGTCACCTGACAAAAGATGTAAATCAGTTAGGAGATAGTTCTGATCCCTTGTTTTGCCTTTTTCCTGCTAACATGAATGGTGTACCCGCTGACATATAGTTTTCTCAGGAATTATTGAGAAAGTCTTTGTTTCCAAACACTGAGCATAGCATTTAACAATAGGTGTTACATTATGTAGTAAGGTACTCATGATAGGAGGCAACTCTTGTGGAAGCAGTAATGGACCTAAATACATCGAGAGTTATCTCCCTGGTGTAACAGGCGACTTCTTTTGTTGATATGACAGTCAGAAGAGAACTGAAAGCTGGTTCTAGATGATTTTGAAAGCGGTGTGACTATTGCAAAAGAGTTAGCTGTAACATGTTTCCTGCAAAATTTGATCGGTAGTGTACCTAGAGCGCATTCAGTCGTGTATTGTAGGGCAAGGAGGTCCCACAAAGTACTGAAAAGACACTTAGACTGTAAGAGAATCATATCTTAACATATTCAGTTAAGTAAAGCTTCTATAGTTCATATAAATGTATTCGATATTTGCTGAAACAACTTTCTCAATAATTTATAGACCCGTGAAGGTCCAGGTTAGAATATTGATCTTCAGTCACCCATGCTTGTCGTCAGAGGCGACTAACAGGATCAAAGGTGGTCAGGTTCGTTGACTTGGTTGACACATGTATGTCATTGGTTCCCAATTGCGCAGATCGATGCTCATGCTGTTGATCACTGGATTTTCTGGTCCAGGCTCGATTATTTACAGACCTCCGCTATATAGCTGGAATATTGCTGAGTGCGGCATAAAACTAAACTCATTCATTCACTCAGTGATTTATAGGAATACTATAAGTTCATCTGCCTAACACTCATAAAATATAGGCCTGATGTGTATAAGATCACAAACGATCTCTTCCAATTGTAATTATAGCCTTCCTTTTTGAATGTTTGTCGTCCTGGTATTAAAAGCTTAAATGCATTTGCGTAGAACATAAAGCTGTTCATAGGAAGGTTTATTAGATTTGGACAATTAGTGTGATCGTCGATGTAAACTTATACCCACCCTTGCTTTCTTTCAATTATACAAAATTCATCACCTGTATTCTGTCCGGGGGCGCCTGTTACTCCACCTGGTGGTGCTTGACCCTAGAAAAGACATAAAGCAGTTCGAGGAGGTAGTCGTGATCCTTTGTTTCTGTCGTTGTCTTGCTGACATGCATGGAGTACCCGGCTGACATACAGGTTTATCACGCATGACACTAATATAGGAAGGCAGTTTAAATAAGGTCGACAAACGATACATTTGACTAGATTATGAAGCTCTTCATGGGATAGAATATCTAACAGGTTTAAAATGATATTTTCACGATAAATCAGAAACCTAACTCCCTGTTATGAGTAAACCTTGTAATTTGTAGGTAAATTCAACTACAATGTAAAAATCGATATTATTTCCTAATTAGGACTTAGTATCTAGTATAATATATTTTCTATGTGACCCTAATACGCTTCAGTAACTACCCGTTATCCGCAAACGTTGTAGTTTGTAGGTAAAGTCAACTACAATATAAAATCGAACAATCCCAAAAGTTAAATCTTACCAAGTACATAAACAGTCTTGTTTGCACTATAGTCTGCACTTAGGACAGAACACCTGAACTGTCTTCCACTGTCTAGATACGAGACTGTGTGAACCAGTGTTGACGCCCTGTATATTGACATTCCGCTACTGAAGTAGGACGGTCGTAGGTGATGTTTTGGTCGTTGGGGTACCGTGTCCAGGTGGTGAACTCGCTGTTTACAGATCGCCACTCCCATGTCCACAGGTTCTGGAGGTTGTTCTCATCAAACTGGTTCCCAATCCTGCCTGTACATCTGATTGACAAGAGCTGACCATAGTCATATTGGATCCTGTCAGGAGTAGGGAACATCTCTATCTGCTCTGGGTAGGCTGTAAGAAAGTATATAGATATTGTCTGTCACCATTTGGGGCAATCGGCGTAGAAAAGAATGCCGATATTAACAGTACAATTACACTTATAAATGCTGTATAAGACTGTAATGGGAATTGTTTAAATGGTGTATAGATATCCAGTTAATTTGCATGAGTGACCCTTATTCGATTGTTTAAATGCATTCAATATAAAATTGTAACTCATATGCTGTCAACACTTATATTTAGAAACAGGCAATAAGTTTACACATTAAGAATATATCACACTGACCCAAACTCACAGCTAACAGGGCAGGTATACAAGACACATGAGATGACTTGAAATACACTAAAAATATAATTAAGCAATTTAAATGTCAAATATAAATGTCTTATATATATATTCTAATTTCTTCGCACATATACACATACGCACACACACACACATATATATATATATATATATACGCACAAAATGTCCAAAGTAGTACAGGTGTTCAGTCATAAATATTGCATAGATAAATAAAAACAGAATGCCGTTTTCTCCAACATGTTTCGTTCTTTACTCTTCTATTGTACAATCTCCTGAAGAGTAAAGGAGCAGAAACATGTTATCGAAAAACGGCAATTTTTATTATCTATCATATATATATATATACCGTTTAATTACATTATATATCTATCTAATATATATCGATATATACCGCTGACATACAACTTCATCTGCATAACTCTCTTAAAATATAGTCTGATTTAGATCAGGTCACAAACGATCTCTTCAATTGTAATTATAGTCTTCCTTTTTGAATCTTTGTCGTCCTGGTATATAAAACTTAAATGCATTTGAGTAGAACATGAAGCTGTTCATAGGAGAGAATGTAACAGGTTTATTGTGAAATATGTATATGTGTGTGTCTCAAGGACAGAGACGTTTCAGATTTAGTAGATATTAACATTACACACTTCCAGCTGTGATGTTTATAGTTGCCTCATCATTTCCATCTGTGCCAACCAAGTGTACAGTTTTGCAGTAGTATGTAGAAGCAGCATCAGCACATCTCAGATCTGTCAGGATGAACTGTATGTTGCCTGTTGCTCCACTGATAGAACCCGAGGCTGTCATCCGCTGCTGTAGACCTGTGTCCACTACTTGAACTGACGAATCTGTGTTGGTCATTCGTATTATAGTGTGATCAGTGCCAGTAGAAGACTTCTTGCCAATCTCCATGCCATACACTGTAGTTATCCCAGGTGCATTTGGCCTGCACCCGACAGTCAACTGAGATGTTGGGTTTCTGCCCCCGATTGTTATTTGGCTTGGTGAAGCGGTCAGGCTTGCCCCAGTGGCTGAAAAACACCCAAGTACTTGAATTTACATCAATTCAATAACAAAGGACGATTTATTCATTCATATAAATATGTGCCATGAAAATATATACTGTATAGCATAGTAGCGTAGCGTAGCAGGGCTTAATGAAGGACTGCGGCGATGATGACTGATTCCTAATATAGAACTTTTAAGTAACGTGTTTCAGTTTAAAGCACACATGTTGAAATCTGATATTTGTGAAACAGATTCGATTTTCTTTGAGGGTGTACACAAGTGAATATAATCACAATGGAAAACTCTTCTCTTCTTCTACATCAGCACCGACTGATCAAGCATTTTATAGAAGCTTCCGTAAAGATTTATTTAGACCAAGTGCAGCAATTACATTAACGACCAGACTTCAACATATTTCATCCGGGCCATATCAAATCTCGTTAGAGGACTGTGAGCTGAGCACACTGCCCTTCCTTCATAAATATATATGGAAATGTTCTTGAAGCACATACTCCCAGGTCCTAAACATATCCTTCTTGGGTCCCTGGAAATAGTGATCAGTCACCTATATCCCATTTTCATCATTCTGCCCAACTCAGGAAGATCAATCGATGACCATGGCCGTTTCCATGAGACTTCCTTACACTGATCTTTCTCAGTGCTTCAGTCACTGAATCCCCAGGCCCTGACTCAGTTACTTACAGGCCAAATTCATGTGCAAAGTATCCTTCCTTGACATCTGTATGATGGACAGAACACATTAGAGTCCGTCAACCAAAGAAGCTTAAGTACCCTCTGTATACCTTACGATGAATATATCTATACCGAATGCTAACATTAACAATACAACCAGTTAAGCTCAAATACAGGTTTGCTATCCGAATGACAAGTAAAGAAGACGAAACATAAAAGTGGATGTGGGATTGTAATCAGAATGCTGGGGCAGACTGATGGTCAAAAAAGCGATGGGAGAATACCACTGGGCTAAGTGTATGCTTTCAAAATGTCAGTAATGTGTATAGCTACCCTTGACGGAAATGTGCCACGGATTGTCGATGTCATTGAATGTCCAGACAATTATGCCAGAATTATATATGCTTTGATAGTGCTGTGGTATATCATTAATAGGCAAGACATTTCTGAAATTTACGCTCTTGATAAATATGTAAATTAACCAGTTGTACAAAACTCACTACTTGCAGGCTTTGCGGAAGGAGTTTTGGTTGTTGTTGACCTGAAACAAATACGTAGCAGTTAGGAAGTAGACCTGATCCTTTCGCTTCTGTTGCTTTCCTGCTAACATGCATGAGATACGCTGCTAACATAATGGTTCATATGTATAACACATTTACAATACAAACCAGATTCGGATAAAGGTCACAGACGATTTCTTCCCATTGTAATTACAGCATTCCTGCGTGAGTGTTTGTCGTCCTGGTATCATGTGTTAAATGTATTTGAGTAGAACAGCAAGCTGATTGTATATATAGAAGATACAACAGGAACTGCATTCGACCGGAACAGCAATCACAAGCTTTTCGGTCCAATAAAAATACACGAATGCCGTTAAAGAAGGACAATGTCGTTTATAGTCAGACGATGATGCTTTGACACCAAAATGTCAATAATGTGATATGGCCACCGTTGTCTGAAATATGTGCCAGGGTGACAGCTTTAGCGTGATCGTAGATGTAATCTTATATAACCTGCTCTTGCGTTTTTTGAATTATACAAAACTCACCACTTTCGGGATGAGATGATAGTTCTGGTTCTGCGTCACCTGACAAAAGATGTAAATCAGTTAGGAGATAGTTCTGATCCCTTGTTTTGCCTTTTTCCTGCTAACATGAATGGATTGTACCCGCTGACATATAGTTTTCTCAGGAATTATTGAAAGTCTTTGTTTCCAAACACTGAGCATAGCATTTAACAATAGGTGTTACATTATGTAGTAAGGTACTCATGATAGGAGGCAACTCTTGTGGGCTTAGTAATGGACCTAAATACATCGAGAGTTATCTCCCTGGTGTAACAGGCGACTTCTTTTGTTGATATGACAGTCAGAAGAGAACTGAAAGCTGGTTCTAGATGATTTTGAAAGCGGTGTGACTATTGCAAAGAGTTAGCTGTAACATGTTTCCTGCAAAATTTGATCGGTAGTGTACCTAGGCGCATTCAGTCGTGTATTGTAGGGCAAGGAGGTCCCACAAAGTACTGAAAAGACACTTAGACTGTAAGAGAATCATATCTTAACATATTCAGTTAAGTAAAGCTTCTATAGTTCATATAAATGTATTCGATATTTGCTGAAACAACTTTCTCAATAATTTATAGACCCGTGAAGGTCCGGGTTAGAATATTGATCTTCAGTCACCCATGCTTGTCGTCAGAGGCGACTAACAGGATCGGGTGGTCAGGTTCGTTGACTTGGTTGACACATGTATGTCATTGGTTCCCAATTGCGCAGATCGATGCTCATGCTGTTGATCACTGGATTTTCTGGTCCAGGCTCGATTATTTACAGACCTCCGCTATATAGCTGGAATATTGCTGAGTGCGGCATAAACTAAACTCATTCATTCACTCAGTGATTTATAGGAATACTATAAGTTCATCTGCCTAACACTCATAAAATATAGGCCTGATGTGTATAAGATCACAAACGATCTCTTCCAATTGTAATTATAGCCTTCCTTTTTGAATGTTTGTCGTCCTGGTATTAAAAGCTTAAATGCATTTGCGTAGAACATAAAGCTGTTCATAGGAAGGTTTATTAGATTTGGACAATTAGTGTGATCGTCGATGTAAACTTATACCCACCCTTGCTTTCTTTCAATTATACAAAATTCATCACCTGTATTCTGTCCGGGGGCGCCTGTTACTCCACCTGGTGGTGCTTGACCTAAGAAAAGACATAAAGCAGTTCGGAGGTAGTCGTGATCCTTTGTTTCTGTCGTTGTCTTGCTGACATGCATGGAGTACCCGGCTGACATACAGGTTTATCCCATGACACTAATATAGGCTTGATTTAGATAAAGGTCGACAAACGATACATTTGACTAGATTATGAAGCTCTTCATGGGATAGAATATCTAACAGGTTTAAAATGATATTTTCACGATAAATCAGAAACCTAACTCCCTGTTATGAGTAAACCTTGTAATTTGTAGGTAAATTCAACTACAATGTAAAAATCGATATTATTTCCTAATCAGGACTTAGTATCTAGTATAATATATTTTCTATGTGACCCTAATACGCTTCAGTAACTCCCCGTTATCCGCAAACGTTGTAGTTTGTAGGTAAAGTCAACTACAATATAAAATCGAACAATCCCAAAAGTTAAAATCTTACCAAATTACATAAACAGTCTTGTTTGCACTATAGTCTGCAATTAGGACAGAACACCTGAACTGTCTTCCACTGTCTAGATACGAGACTGTGTGAACCAGTGTTGACGCCCTGTATATTGACATTCCGCTACTGAAGTAGGACGGTCGTAGGTGATGTTTTGGTCGTTGGGGTACCGTGTCCAGGAGCTGAACTCGCTGTTTACAGATCGCCACTCCCATGTCCACAGGTTCTGGAGGTTGTTCTCATCAAACTGGTTCCCAATCCTGCCTGTACATCTGATTGACAAGAGCTGACCATAGTCATATTGGATCCTGTCAGGAGTAGGGAACATCTCTATCTGCTCTGGGTAGGCTGTAAGAAAGTATATAGATATTGTCTGTCACCATTTGGGGCAATCGGCGTAGAAGAATGCCGATATTAACAGTACAATTACACTTATAAATGCTGTATAAGACTGTAATGGGAATTGTTTAAATGGTGTAAAGATATCCAGTTAATTTGCATGAGTGACCCCTTATTCGATTGTTTAAATGCATTCAATATAAAATTGTAACTCATATGCTGTCAACACTTATATTTAGAAACAGGCAATAAGTTTACATTAAGAATATATCACACTGACCCAAACTCACAGCTAACAGGGCAGGTATACAAGACACATGAGATGACTTGAGAAATACACTAAAAATATAATTAAGCAATTTAAATGTCAAATATAAATGTCTTATATATATATTCTAATTTCTTAAGCACATACACAGCAAAAATAACTTGGTTTCCGTTCTTGCGGAAACCTAATGAATACTGGGTAATGTAGGTTTCCGCTAGGTTTCAGTATGCGGAAACAGACAATGCGAGTTTCCGCATAGTTTACAAAACTGAAACTAACAAATCTAGGTTTCCGTCATGTTTCTACAACTGAAACTATCATTATGCGTTTCCATTTAGTTTCAGTTCGCTGAAACATTCATAGCAAAATGACTTAGTTTCCGTTATTGCGGAAACCTATTGGATACTGGGTAATGTAGGTTTCCGCTAGGTTTCTGTTGGTTTCAGCTTAGATGAAATGGCAAACTTAGCTTTGTGCTGTTCCATTGGGGGACAATATTTACTTACTGTTATATTTGCAAGATAATTTCTATGTACAGAATCCCAGCTAGGGTCCATGCGGGAAGCAAAAGTACTGTACGTTCCCGTAGTCCCTAGTATGTTGATCAACCTTCAGGTGTACATTTGTCATAGACTAGTTTTTACTGTCCTTCGAAGACAGGTAAGTACATGAGTTTGTTTTTTATTTCATGTACACATTTACAAATTTAGATTTACGACTTTCCTAGTCACGATATGGCTGCCGATGTGACTTTGTGTGGGTGGGTGGGTAGGTAGGTAGGTAGCTAGGTAGGTAGGTAGGCGGGTGAGAAGCCACATCAAGAGGGAATCTTCAGCATTGGAGAACACAACTTCTGCATGAATATGCAAATACAAATATGTCAAAACCCTACAACATTTTATGCATATGATGAAATGATGTCTACTAGTGCAGGCATAATATACTTGCTGTGGTATTTATTAAACAGATTTCAAATTCAAATGTTTATTGTATGAAAGGTCATGGGCCCATATACATGAAATGTACATTTGAAGCTGCCTCAATGTTGTATCTTAACATATACACACTAACAATCTCACATAGTAAAGACTTGGCAACTTGCTGACAATCATGAAGCTTCTATTGCACTCATACTGATCAAGCAGCCATCCTCTGATCTGGTACATATGAAACAGAGCCTGAGATGAGACATTTGTTTCATAACACAGAAAGGGAAATATAACCAAGTTGATTACAACAAGGCTTGAACCAGTCCACAACCACAAACAGATGGTGTATGCTCTACCCAAGATCTGTGGGTGAATATGAAGATTTCCTGGTTGATGTCTGGCACAACATCGTTGCCATGCTCATCGTCCCACACAGACTCTGCATCATCCTACAAATACAATACATACAATGCTTGAGTAAAACTACAAAACAGCCAAAGTAACTCGTGTATACATGTTCAAAAAAACATGCACAGTGGTACATCTGATCACAATGAAATTATAAAATTAGAACGACTAATTTGTAGATGTAACCAAAGATCTTTTCACAATTACAAAGGAAAGATCTGTAGTATACATGTATATTGTATCTTCCATTGGACATGTCACTTATTTGATTGATTGGTACCAGAAAATGGTATCAACCCAGTATTCTGAAGCAAATTGTGGTAATATTTATTACTGTTACTGTACTCATATTCAAGGTAACATCTACTACCAAATCCATAATTGAAATCTAAGCATAGGTAAGAGGGTACATACATATTTTGAATAGATAAAGAATCATGTTTAAACACTGAATGAAACACCTGATTATATATGTGATCTTATTCATTTCAAATTGAAATGACCAACTCAACTGAGAAAAGCATACAAAACCTAACATTTCCCTTGAATGAAAAAATCGTAGGTATTTCTTAGTTTTATCAACATTCACAACAATATAATAACATAAAATATTACTTTTTAATGTGACCTTTACTTTATTTTATAAACTGTAAAGATGCGTAACACAACTTATTCACTTTCAGTTACATATCTGATATACAATAATTAAATATATTCGTTATTGATATATGATGGATAACAAAGGGCAGATCAAACTGAAGTCGTTATGTGAAACCTATGAAGTGAAGCATCTTTGACGACTAACCTGATGAGAAACTGCCGTCCATCCCAGGCGGATTCCTTGTTTCCTTGAAACAAACGACTGGCAGAGCGGACAGAAAACTGGTCTTTTTCTTGGAACTGAAAAACATATCAACTTATAATTTCACTGGAATCCGCATTGTGACATTTTGAGTGATTATATCTTTCACAAAGATAGAAATTTATTTTAAGTATCGATTTGAGTGTTAACTTGTTTTTGACTAATTGCTGATGAATAAAAGTATTGTTTTGAATTTCCTTTAATGAAAGTAGAACGTAATGGTATGGTGTAACTATAAATGATTACCAAGCCAAACCCCTCTTGTCAATCCTCAACAGAAGTCAGTGGATCCACAATACGTATCTGCAATAGGTGAAAAAATGATTATTTTACAAATTTTATACGTGAATTGTCAATGCATTAATAAGGCTAAGAGGTTTCATAATTGATTACACAAATTATTACACAAAGCTATGAGTGTAAAGTATATGTCATAAATAATTGTTTTAATGGATTTATGGAAATGATAAAATAGATGAGTTGCTTGCTTTCCTATCATACTTTGCATACTATTTATTAGCTGTTTTGTTCGCCGTATCAATGGAATGGAGGTGTATTGAAATAAGCCATTGTGGCAGGATTCCCAATCCTGGTTTAATTTGTTTTTGAATAAAAATATGTTTACACTAAAAATAGATGAACTGGAGTACAATTGGATAAAATACCGCCATATAGCTGGAATATTGCTGAGTGCGGCGTCATACTAAACTCCACTCACTTACGCTATAATGAGCTGACATTACATATATAGACTAGTAATAAGTAAGAAAGCTTATAATGCACGGGAATAGTATGCGTAGATATAGGTGTAGAACTGAAAAGAATGAACATGATATAAGTATGTCCTGTACTTGCATGTTTTGCAGGCTCCAATAAGGTAGAGTTACTTACATGATGAAGGTTTACGTCAGCAGAAATATTTTCATTATATTTTACTCCTGACAGGTTTTGAAAATACCTATTTGCCACTAACACAAGTTCTCGTAGGTAGGACTCATGAGCTCGATCAGGACTTTTAAATTAACGTGAATATGTTTTTCAGGTTATTCACTGTTAATTATCTCTAGGCCTACATGTTGATGCTTGACACTGAGGAGGGAGGAGCAATTAGTGCCCATAATGCGATGAAAAAGACCCATAAGCTCATAACAGCCCACTGTTGTCACTTTGGGTACTCACATTCAATCTGTTCGTTTCCACCTTTTGCGGTCCCCTTTGATGTCAGCGAAAGTGTAAACAAATAAAACAATGGCGACCGGATCACGTCCGCAGAGACTACCTAAATCATTATAAAAACACACAGCTGACATTTTGAGTTGACCCTTGGTATGTTTATTTTGTTATTGTATAACAAAGGAAAGATATTGTCAAACTGTAATATTGGAATTTAGATTAAAAAGCAACAACAAAGTGTTTTTCCATTAGTCTTTGCAGAGACGCCATTTCATAACCGCTCTCAGTTTTCCTCCAAAGCACTGGAAGAGAGAGAATTCGATGCCTGGAAAGAAAGATGGAAATGGCTGCGAAAACTCGCGAGTACAACGACCCTGTCGAATAAGACCAAGTTATTGTGGTGTCACAAATAACGTTTAATGAATTATTATTTGCTTTACGTACTGAAATCCAGATTGGTAAAGCAAGTTTAATCTGTCGCATTACAGCTAACTGGCCATAGGCATCGTCACTATGTATTATTCGACTTACATGTTAATTTAGTTGCAGCTAGACATTGAAGTTGTGTAATATCCATTTGATATTGTTCATATTTTTGCACATGGGTCATGAATCATCTCAGCTACAAAGGTATAATTTCCGTTTTATTTTCAACGAAAAGTGCGTGTCGCGTTGGCAATTGTAACATGGCGGTCTATATGGGAAAGAATGCGCAATGTTATATATATGTTGCTCGGCGTAACTGCAATGCGGAAAATTATGTATCATGACCAAGATGATTTCTAACAACCTGCATGAAATCTGACAAGCAAATATGGAAAAACTGAATTAATGAAAATTACTACAACTACACTAAAATAGCATGCAAGTCTATGAGAATTTTACCGACTGGCGAAGTATTTTTGAGTCCCACGACTGTACAGTTTTGCTCGAACTATTTCAAACGATGGTGAAGTAAACAAGTTCATCTTAAAACACAGGCCATGTTTAAAAATATAGCAAATAGATTATATATTATTAGATGTTGTATTAATTTAGGCTGCCGTAGGAAACATGTGTCACGGCTACTCCTTGAGGAAAAGATTACACTTTCATTGAAGGTATAAGTTTATGGTATTACGAAATATATACACTTATTTTGAAGATGGAGCATAGTAAGTTTATTGATATATTTTTACAAATGAACTATATTTAAAGCTGACAGTAAATGGATTTATTAACTGGTAATTCGCAGAATTATGATTTCTATTTTGACTAACAATAAATTTTAATTTACACTTGTGTAATGAATAAATTCAATTTTGATTACACATTACTGTATTATTTGGCAGCAGGTTAGCATGATATCTAAATACCTATCGACATACAAGGAAGGTACCATTTAATATTTATTAGAGAATTTAGTGATATAATTTGTATTTTATGAGTTGTAATGTTGTTGTAATTGTTTGCTTTTGAAATTTGAATGAATAGAAATGTAGTTAAAAGTGAAGGAAGAGAAGCGATTTTTATAGTTGATGATGTTTGAGGATTAGAGTATTGAAGGACTAAGGATGACAGGTAGAATATAAGATACTTGACTTATCTAGTGGACGAGAATAGGGCATTTACTTATTAGTAGAGACAAGCCATAGTGACGTCAACCTTTATATTATAGAAACATAACACAGTGAATATCATCTCTTGTCAGTGCAAGCATTCACCTAGAAACATTGTGTTTTTCAAAATTGACATCCGTAAAACATTCATGTCTTGTATTATTCACTTAAAAATACACACATGCCTTGGTATTATTCACTTAAAAATACACCTCAAAGACTTAATGGTGCAAACATACAGTCATCATCACTGTGAATATACTGTACCTCAATGACTGACTGACTGAGCTTGGTTTTACGCCGCTTTTAGCAACATTCCAGCAACAACACGGCGGGGACACCAGAAATGTACCACACGAACTGCAAGAGACCGAATATAGCACCTGATGAAAATTCATTACCAGTTTAATATTGCTATAGAAAATGCAATAAATGTTCAGAGATATAGAGTACATAACGTATTTATTTACTCCTGGTCTTGGGAACTGCAACTACAGAGCAAATTTTGTATATAGATTGTGTCCCCGTGAAATATGATATTTCATTCGGTCGTCGAAGTGATGAATTGCATAATCGAGTTTAAAAACTAGTAAAGTGTGATAGTTCAATTAAGTCTTTTATCTAAACTTCCTTTTGATTACTATTTAAATCATCCTTGGCATTGTCAGTTTCTTGTTGATTGATGTTTGTAATTTATCAAAATAACTCAGCAATTCGTCAATACTCAGCCATTTTCAGAAACTTGCACATCGCCTAAACAGACTTGTTTGCATCTATCGATTGGCCAGATAGACGAAAGAAAAGGTATGACAACACTCACCATAGACATGACATCACCAGTCGAGTGACGGTTCACGTCAATAAAGTTGCATTCCCTTTGTCTTGGAGTCCAGCAAGGGCATACACAGACGACATCGAACTTGGAAAGAATCTACACTTCATCGCTCTCGTCGTGGGCTAACGTGGAGGACGAGATGAGGCACTAACCAACCGGAGGGATCTCCGCCCAGGAAATTTCATTGGGCTAATCCGACCAACTCTGCAATATAATGAATCTATTTTCAATCATAATGTAATTTTATTTTATGTAATATTTGTATTGTAAGCTGTATACACAGTTATAGCATGACTTCATAGTGGATGTTTGCATGATAGTTGTGTGGCAGAATACCAATAAATGTCCGATGATGCAGCTATGTTTACTACTGTTAATTTGTATAAGAGTTAGTATTTTTCACCTTTATACGATTTTAAATAATTTCATATCTAATATGCTATTTAAGATAATAAGTGAATGAAAAGCACTGATGAAAACTACTATTTGTTATTATTAATGATATATGATTTTCGTAATTGGATTGAGTTATGCCAATATGTTTTTCTTGCCTTGTTTGAGTGTTATATTACCACAGTGTGATCTTTATTTGTTCGAAATGCTTATTCATTCATGTTGAGAAATAGTAATGAATCTTATTATATATTCTGTTTTCTTAAGTAAAATGTCATGTGATAATAACAAATTGCTTATATTGTTTTTAACAAGAGTTTATGATATGAATAGAGAAGAATGGTTAATCGACTCTTTGAAGGTAGCATGAAAACCCGTGAACCTGAAATTGAAACGGGTAACGTTGAAACTACATGCGGAAACTATGCTCCAGATTGTTGGTAACTGAAACTTTTTGAAATCCATATGTCGATTGTTGGTAACTGAACTCATGGAAACGGTTGGAGTCTTATTAATAACTGAAACCCAGGAAACCTGATGGATCTAAAGTTAACTGAAACTCAACGGAAACTTGTCGGAGCGGGTAACGGATAATTTATGGAAACCCGTTGGATCAGGGTAACGGAACCTTGCAGAAACCCTTAGAAAGTAGTAATTAGAAAGTTTGCCCTTGCGGAAATCAATGCAAAAGAACGGAAACTCATCACTGATTCTAGGTGAAACTAAGTTTCAGTCCACTTTCCACTTCCGGTGCTTCGCATTGCGGAAACTATTTTGCTGTGTTACTGAGTTACCCAAATGAGCTAAGAGGGAGTCGAATCATGTGACAGGTTGTCTTCCATGATCCACGTTGCCCTGTACTCTCTCCAGAATTGTTGTAAACCCGAAGAGGTATTGAATGATGTCTTATTAATCGCATATCTCGACTATTCATCGACGAAGTCTTCTGAGGAAAATCCTAAGGCGCGAGTAGTCATACTCGCCATTTTCTTCCTCGATAACCTCGTAGTTCGCTGTTGCGGGAGAGAATGACACGGGTAACCTTTCTACGACTACGAGGTCAAGGCCGTCGGTGTCGCAGAAGGTTGTCCTGTACCCAGACTGAATGGCATACGTGTCGCGATGAGGTGTTAGTATTCCCATCCGACGAAAATATATACATGTCATCCCCGGAATGTTCTATGTTAAGAGACATGTTCGTATTTCTTATAGCCTGTTTACGTCTTCCCGTCAACACAATGATGCCAGTGGCGTTGTCGTTGTGCGCCATTTTGTGATAAGCGAGAGAGAAGGCTGTTTGGTTTACGACCGTGATTAGAGCGCTTATATCGTCAACGCACTCAATACACACAGGTAGAGAAATGGCGGGCATGGAGGTATTTTCGCGATATTACGCGAGTTTGCTGGGAAAATTGGTGAGACGATGACGAGCACGCATGGACTGTATTAGAGACACTTAGCAGTTAAACCTACAGGATGTAGAGGCTATTTCGAGGCGGTAGGTAAGCCCATGTGAAGGAAAATATGAGAGACGACGGGGTGAACACTCACGACTGTGTATAATAAGGGACGATTAGAGCGGGATTAGGTCACTAACTTGTACGTGAGGGGTTACTTTTGAAGTGTGTAGGGACGATGAGGGTGGACACTAGCGGTCGTGTATAATAGGATGATTGAGCAGCTAGGCCACTAACATGTGGCCGGTGGGGTTATTTTCAGTTGAGAGGGTGTAGAGTGAAGGTATACTACTGATTAGTGTATATGATAGGGACGATTGAGTAGCTAGACTGATTAATGATGTAATGCAGGATTATTTTCAGCGAGAGGGTGTAGAAGGATGGTGGGGTACTCGCGGTTATGTGTATGACAGGGAGCGATTATTACTGAAGGAGAGGAAGAGACGGAGGAGTGGACACGAAGGGCGTATATTAGGGTGATGATGCTAGACTGACAACGCACGCATCGTGGGGAATATTTTCGAGGGAGAAGGGGTGAGAGACAGCAGGGTGGAAGACACTCACGATTGCGTATAATAGGGGACGATTAGAGCTGTTAGGGCTGATTAACGATGGTCGTATGGGTTATTGAAGGCTTGGCACACGCGGTGGTTGGAACACTATGAATAAGGAGGAAGACCCATGAGCAGTAATATACGAGCAAACTGTGAAATATGGTGCGAAGATAATAGGAGGCGATTGTCTTCATGCTTGTCGGACGTGTATAGCTTTGTCATGTCTATACATCGCGGACACGTCAATACCCTGGGTGGCAGGACCATTCAGCGACCACTCTCAAACCATATCAATTACAGCTCGCTAAGGCACAGTAAGACGTACTCCTGACCAGCTTTCCGCCATTACTACTGCTACTACCACGGCTACATTACTATCATTGCTACTACTACTACCAACCATGGATTCAAGCAAGATGTGATGCTGTCTAACAACTATGCTATACTGCTGGAAGTGTCCCTGGGTCAGACCACGATGAAGAATTGTCCATTGGCGTGTGGGAAACAGGTGTGTGGTGACAGGGTCTGGGAACAGATTGACCCATGCCGTAAAATTCATCAGCAACATGCAACTGAAATCAAGTGGTCATCAGT